CTGTGTAGGAAAACTGTAATTCAGTGTCGAAACTGCCAGACGTGGTGAGACAATTCCCATCGTGAAATTGGTCATATCAGAAGTGTCTAACGGCACACTATCAATTTTCCACTCTAAAAGAATAAATAATCTAGTAGGTTGAAAATCGCCGGATGTTATTTCTAGCCTACCGGTAGTCGCGCCACTGTCTGTGAGGTCATGCCAACCCTTTTTATGAAATAAACACTAAATTGCATAGCGAATTTGGCTGAACGGCCTAGTACCGTCATCTATCATTAAGATCGAAGTTCAGTCGACTTTTGGCAGTTGCTGTGTGACAGTGTGTCAAGTTATAGCGATTTCGGGTGTCACAGACCGGCGCGACCAGTGCAGGTACAACTTTGTAAAAAGGTAATTTCCTATATATTTTCGTTATTTGATTACTATTTTAGAGAAATGTTGAATTTTAGTGATGGCGCACTATGAAAAGGAGCAAGTATATTTGCAAAAACTTTTGAATGATGTAGGTAACAGTTCTGTAACCCGATGAAGGGTAACAGAACAATGAAAAACTTGTAATTCATGAAAGTGATTCTGAACAGGAAGTTTCAGATGCGGAAGAAGGTATAGATCATGAAACTTCTTCAATTTTTTATATGTGTATTTTGAAATATAATATAAATTGAAATAACGAGCCCACCACGCATTGGAAAAAGTATCCCCATCGACCAAAAACTGTTAGAACAAGGCAGGATACATAATAATCCGTTTACCAGAGCCAACACAGGCAACCAAGTGTTTGAAAACTGCTGAGGAGATATGGAATTATTTCTTCGATGACACGATAATTAGAATTGTTGTTGAAAGTACGAATAAATAATATTGTCTATCCAAGCAAGAGACAGAGGACAAAATTGAAATACGGGCTTTTATAGGACTCTTATATTTATCTGGTCTTGGTCACTCCAATCGCTCAAATGCCGATGATCTTTGGAGGAGAGATGGATATGGCCCAGAAATGTTTTTCCTCACAATGAGTTTGCAGAGTTTCCGATTCATTGTACGTTGCATACGTTTTGATGATGAAGAAACACGCTCAGATCGAACAAAATTTGATAAACTAACTCCTATTCCTTCAATATTCAATCAATTAGTAAATAATTGTCGAAATGGTTTTAATCATTCGGCCTATGTCACCATTGATGAGATGCTTTCAGCATTCAGAGGAAAATGTTAATTTCTCCATCACATTACAAACCCTAACAAATATGGACTGAAGATCTCGGCAGTTTGTGACGCAAAAGTCTTTTGTACTTCAAACGTGGGATCCCAACCCGAAGGTTCATATGACTTGGCTTTAAGAATGTGTAAACATTTTTCTGGTTCACGCATTAACCTGACGATGGAGAACTGGTTAACGTCTATTCCTTTGGTGCAAAAGTTACTCCGGGATTACAAAATAACTGTAATTGGAACAATGAGAAAAAATAAAACTGAACTGCCCATTGAATTTTCAAGACCTACTAAACGTCCCATCCACACAAGTATGTTTGGCTCCACCGAGGATTTAACAATCGTTTAATATATACCAAATAAAGGAAAACATGTTTTATCAACATCCAGTATGCATCATCATGACGATATTGATCCTGATACTGGTGAGAAATGTAAGCCGGTAATTGTCAGTACATATAATAAGACAAAAGGAGGTGTCGACGTAGTCGACAAGTTGTGTGCTTCATACGATTGCTCAGGCAACAGTAAAAGATGGCCCATGGTGATATTCTACAACATGTTGAATGTTGCAGGAATAAATTGTCAAATCATATACAAAGCTAACAATCCCAATGAAAGTGGTTCACGTCGACGATGAAGATAAAAAACTTCCAGGAAGACTGCTACCCCCTGATAGATGTACCCTCTGCGGGTGGAAAAAAAATAGAAAAACCAGTTTTTCTTGTTATAAATGCAGTACGTATTTGTGTTTAGAGCATATTACGTTTGTGCCCTAATTTCCGCGAAGCACCATAATAGTGTCTAGCTCCAAAATTTTCATTTAGAATACATTGAGTTACCATTTTTAAGTTTTTCACCCAGTTATAATTTTCTGTTTGTTTTTTATAGAATTATATTTGTTTCCGCGAAGCACCATAATAGTGTCTAGCTCCAAAATTTTCATTTAGAATACATTGAGTTACCATTTTTAAGTTTTACACCCAGTTATAATTTTCTGTTTGTTTTTTATAGAATTATATTTGTTAGTATGTTTTTTTGTGTGTATTTTTTCAAACCTTCGTTATATTTCAATTAATGAAGTTTTAATAATTTTTTTTGACTGGAAATATTTATTTTTTACTATAATATCATGTCCTATCAGAAAAAAAATCACAAAAATTATTTCCTACTGTTGAACCCCATATGGTCTGTGAGACCGGGGCGACTAATCTTGAACAAAAAATTGGCGCGACTACCGGAAAGTTAACTATTAATTGACAAATTCACAGTTCGGAGTTTATAGAGTGATTTTTTGGTACCATGCCCGGCTTTACGAATGCTGAAATGGCTGATATAGTTTTTGCATACGGCTTGGCCGACGGAAATTCAAGCGAGGCCAGTCGCATTTATCAGGAAAGATATCCCCAACGCGTGACTCCTTGTGCAGCGACATTTGCGAATCTTTTCCGGCGACTTACCGAATATGGAAGCATTGCAACAAATTCTGCAGTAGAACGGCCACGGACTACAAGAACTGTAGAATTGGAATAGGCGGTTCTCGAAGAAATTAGTGAACATCCAGAGACAAGTACAAAAAAAATTAGTCAAACTGTAAATGTGAGTCACATGAAGGTTTACAGAATTTTAAAGGTACAGCAATTACATCCTTGTCATATTCAGAGTGTTCAGGCACTTACGCTACGTGATTTCCAACCACGTATCGAGTTTGCTCAATGGCTTCAAACAAAGAAAAGTCGAACAATATCCGCAAATTTTATTGAAAATCCTATTCACAGATGAGGCAAATTTTTCAAGAAATGGTATCATGAACTTCCATAACAACCACAGGTATTTAATTGGGCCCTATTTTCTCCCCTTACGTTTGAATGGAAATGCTTGTCTACATTTTTTGGAACACGAGCTTCCCCAACTTATGGAAGATGTTCCCATTGGTCTCTGACATCACTCTTCGTTTATGCACAATGAAGCTCCTGCACATTTTAGTGTGATAGCAAAACATTTTTCAGACGTAGTATATCCCCAACGATGGATAGGAAGAGGAGGCACTGAGCATTGGCCCCCGAGGTCGCCGGACCTCAATCCCGTCGATTTTTTCTTATGGAGACACCTAAAATCACTAGTTTATGCCAGTTCCATTGAAAACGAGGAAATGTTGAGGGATCGCATCATATTTTGCTGCGAAACGATAAGAAACACTCCGGGAATTTTTCAACGGGTCGGAATTCTTTGATGAGGAGAGCAGAAGCTTGTATTACTGCTGGGGGTCGTCACTTTGAACAGTTGTTGTAATAGTTGTTTTGTTCAATTTTTATATGTTCATTTTCCTAATAAATAACATAGTACTTCTCGGAATTGTTTTTTTACGAACTCGGAAATGTAGCACTCTCTAATAGAATAATTAAACCTGACAATTTTTTTAATCTGGATTGAATAAGCAGTTTGATAATGCTCAGTTTAGAAGAAGTCTGTACGGGTATACTGCAAAAACTTATGACAAAAACATACCATGTTTTGAAAAGTTTCAAAAATCTATATTTCGAAAACGAATCACTCTTCATTAAACATTTTATAGGAAAAAGTTTTTATTTTGACGAAATCCACTTGTTTATTTTGACGAAATCCACAACATACTTAGTTTTTGTAATGTTCTCAGCAACTCCACTTGGCGCCCTAGGAACTAAGTAATATGCATCGATATAGAAAATTGTAAATATCTCGAAAACGATCACCTTCAGCGTTGTTGAGGAAATATACCTTTTTTACTTGGAAACGGTGTGGGAATTAGGTTTTTCAATGAAAAATACCAAAAGTTTACTGTCAAAAAAGTTAGGGCAATTTGAAATATATAATGATAGCGTACGCAGCGCCCTCTAGATGTTACATGAAAATTAATATGAAATTATGATTTTTCACGTCAAAAAAACCCCGGGTACCGAATTTCGTGCAAATAACTTATTTTTAGCAAGAGTTATTATCAAAAAGCGAACAAAAAAATTCAATTTCAACACCCCGTATCTCTGAAACGAAGCATTTGCGGACACAAGTTCATATAGACTTTTTTTTTTTAATTTTCTCAGGAATACGTCACTTGAATATTTTAACGTACTTAATTTAGCCCCTGTATATCGAATACTTTTATCATCAACGCTGTTCCCCAGGGATCCATATTGTCTCCAACGACTTATTGGAAAAAACAAGAATCCAATATATTGCTTTGTTAATGACAGCACACTTGTCTCATCAATCTATTTGGATTACAGGACTTCGACTATGGATGCACATCTTCACCGGCAGCAGGAGGTTGTATATCCAATGATGATCTAGATGTGATCTCAAATTGGGGTGGAAGTAACCAGGTTCCATTCAATGCCACAAAAACCCAGGCATTGCTTTTCTCCAAAGAGATAAATGTCTCCGAACCGGATATACTATCAGAATTGATAATTCTGCTTTCTGCTTCGTAAGTTTGTTGGGGGTTAAAATAGACACCAATATGTCGTGGCATAATCATGTCGCTGGAATTGCAAAGGCTGCTTCTCAAAAGCTTGGAACACTGTCCAGAACCAAAAAACTGTACACACCTCGGCAACTTTTGATACTTTATAAAACTCAGGTCAGGCCTTCTTTGGAGCACTGTTCTCATGTATGGAGCTCCGCCCCTAAGTATACCCTGGAGCTGCTGGATTCTATCCAGAAAAAAGCCATCCGCCTGATTGGAAATGAATCATCAATATAGATTCAACATCACCCGAAAACAATTTCAATGTTAAAGTTTTGAAAAATACAAAATTATTCTCACTTACTTTGCTGATAGGAACCACGGCTTGAATATCGTCTTTTTGTATTTCGAACCGCGAGGTAGATTTTCTCCCTTCTGTTCGATGCATCTCCATATTGTCTGAATCATCTTGATGTGGTTCATATCTCGCTGACCAAACAATTCTGCAACCATCGTAGTTCTCGGTAGCGTCCTCCGTTATTTCGATGAGCCAGGTAAAGAGTTCCATGACTCTGTAACAATAATGAAAAATATTGATATAAAGTGAATACAGTAACCAAAGAAACCATGATATACTTCCGGTTCCGCGAGACCAAAATTTTGTTTTCAGAAAGGTAAGTATATGAAACAAATATTTGCAATTTCTCTTCAAACATAACTTATAAAATATTTACAAAATTCAAATTGAAAGAGGTATTATATAAAAAATTGTAACTTCTATGTATGATCTACACATCTTCGTGAAGAGTTTTTTGAAATTATATGATTTCATTCCTCCTTTGGAAGTCTCCCAAATTTTTGCACAAAGACGGATAAGTGAAAGACTCAAAGCATTTTTCAAAACACTAATCCCTCCCACAAAATACCCCTTTCAATTCAAACAAGATTCCTAAGGCCGGGATTGAGTCAAATAAGCGGATTGAGTCAAATAAGCGTATGAATGTCTTCAAGAACTGTCATCGAGACATGAGTTGACTTTTCTCATTCGTGACATGAAGTCGAAATGTTATGAATGAAATTAATTCTTTATCTTTTGACATTATCCAGATAGATGCTGATGAGGTAATGGGACAAGTGTCTCATTAAAAAACTTGACTGTCATCGGGTGATGACTGTCGAAGACGATTGTGGATACTAACAATCGAAACGTCATGAAGTAATTCGGCTTGGAATCTCTTATTTTTGTATTCTTTATTTCAATTTTCTGTTCACTTGTTCTATTTTTACTTGTATTTTATTTCACTACTATTTCAAGGTTTTCTTGCTTAATATAATTGTTATTTTCAGCAATTCAGGGATTTCAAATCATTTTATATAATATCAGACAATGGAAGTCTGAACTAATGGAATTCATCATGAAACATAGTCAATCATCTTCAAACAAATATATAGGGTGCTCGGTAAAACCTGTCAAGTTTCATTCATTTTCAAACAGACATAATTCAACCTTTTCAAGTGAACACCCTGTATTTTTTGATTCGTATGAAATGTTTCAATATTTCACTACATATTTATCACAAGTATACTACACAAAATACTGATATTTTACAAATTACACCAAGTTTTATTAATTGACTGACATCAAAAAATGAATCTAGGAATTTGTCAATAATGCCATATGTTGAAGTTTGTTTCGCGTGTAGATTGAATCATTTTTATTATGAATCATGTATTGGAAGATATGGTAGGTCTATGCTTTGGGGGAAAGTGACGGAAACTCCGTCCTTGCATGTAGAATTTACAAATAGAAGTTCCCCGAAAAAAGACAATCAGATGGAAAGGTATTTCAGACTATAAAAACAAGATTTGAAAGAACTGGTAATGTCAATCAAGAGAAGTTCGAACGTGTCTGCTCTGTAACAAATGAAGAGAATACATTTCAAATTGCTCTTCACCTCGAAAATCCCCATGTGAGTACCCGAGACCTAAGCAGGGAATTAGGATTTTCTCAAATAAGCGTATCTCGAATGACGAGCAAGCAAATTTCATCCTTACCACATGTAATCGATGCAATAGTTAAGAGGAAGAGATTTTGAAAAACGTGTCCAATTTTGCCGATGAGGCTTCTATTCGTATTTCATCAGTTCGGACTTCCATTGTCTAATATAATATAAATCGATTTGAAATCCCTGAAAAAAATAAAAGATTAACCAAAAATAATAATTTTATTGAAACAAAAAACTGAAATTACAAGGAAATAACATACAAGCTACAACCAGAAAATAAAAAATTGAAATATTAATAAAAGCTGAAAATTAAAAAGTATTAACAAAAATAAAAATAAAATTAAAAGATTCCAAACCAAGTTACGTCACGACGTTTCGATTGTTAGTATCTACAATCGTCTTCGGGTGATAACTGACGATTGATAATTGACGATTGTGGATACTAACAATCGAAACGTCGTGACGTAACTTGGTTTGAAATCTTTAAATTTAATTTTTATTTTTCATTTTTGTTAATGATATTTTTTAATTCTCAGCTTTTATTAATATTTCAATTTTTTATTTTCTGGTTGTAGCTTGTATGTTATTTCCTTGTAATTTCAGTTTTTTGTTTCAATAAAACTGTTATTTTTGGTTAATCTTTAATTTTTTCGGGGATTTCAAATCGATTTATATTATATTAGACAATGGAAGTCCGAAGTGATGAAATAAATACACCACGAAACATTGTCAACCATCTTCAAACAAAGGCTTCTATTCAATATAAAATTTGAAAAAATTTTGAGTAAGTGAACGTAAACAAATAAATTTTTTGTGGTTGGAACAATTATAAAAACTGGGTATAATTTGTAAAATAACTGTTTTTCGTATAGGATACCTCTGAGAAGAAATGTAGTGAAATGTTGAAACATTTCATACAAATGAAAAAATACAGGGAGATTCATTTGAAAAAGTTGAATTATAACTGTTTGAAAATGAATGAAACTTGACCGGTTTTACCGAGCACCCTGTATATTGTTTCCGAAAGTTGAGATTCCCGAAATTATCATAGTAACGTTGACTAACTATTTCTAAAAAAATCCACTTAATTGCTGTAGACATGCGAGTGGTGGATTAAAAAATATTGTCTGCATAATAGGTTTTTCTGGAATAACTTGGCAAGGCCGCAATGGAAATTCGAAAATAAAATTTTTTTAGGGACCTAAAAAAATATGGAATCGAATGACGTATTCATATACGGGGTGCTCTATTTAAAAAATATAACTTTGGTAGGCCACGATCGACTGAATCACCCAGTATGCGAGAAAATAATTTTTAAAGATAGTATTTATCGATATAACTGCAAAAAATTGAGTAATTTGAAAAATGTTTTTCCCTGATCGCAATAGACCGAGGGAATCTTGTTGACTCACCCTGTATACAAGGTAAAATGTAAAACAATAATTTAATTTTTCTCTTGAAGATGATCACTTGGTGATTGAAACACGTGCCGAGGTGTTGAAATAAAACTCCAGTAATATTCATTACTACACCAAAGGTTCCAAACAGGGCATCACAAGGATGTATTGAAAAATTATCAGTCTTCTATAAAAGTAAATGAAATTCTATCCCTCATCTGTCTATCTATTCTATCTATCACTCCACAACTCAAGTTGTGGAATTGGCCGCGGTGGTAGTGCGCCCGACTCACGATTGAAAGACCGTGGGTTCGATTCCTGCCTCGACCAGATACTTTTCACGAGAGAATTTATCTGGTTGAAACTGGGATGATTCTGCAACCGTGTTAGGAATCACACGTTAAAAGGTAAGACCTCGTTAGTCCTTAGCTCGCACAAGTTTCTCAACTTCTGAGAGTTGTCGTTCGTACGGAAAAACACATTTTATTAAACAGAATATATTCTCCTTTTGATTGGATGCATTTATTACAGTTAACTTGCAACACCTTAAGGTCTTGTGAAAACATTTTCTTCTATTTACTGCTAACCAGGCCTCAAAAACATTTGTCACCTTTAGGTTGAAAGAAAACCTACGATCTTTAGAACCTTTTTTCAGTTGGGGACAGAAATATAAGTCAAACGGAGCCAGATCTGGTGAATGAAAGGGGTTATCAAACGCTTTATCACTCTTCATCAGTAACGTTGAATGATACTCAAATCCAGTATTTGCTCTACTATTTTCCAGAAAATCAATCATGAACCTTTTGTCGTTTCAAAAAACTAAAAAAAAAATCTGTTCCAGCAAATTTTTCAACTCGAAATTTCTCAGAGAATGGGTCGTAGAAATGTACCCGTTTCGCCCACAGTACCAACACGGCTTGAGAAGTTTGCATCTTCTTCAAACACAGTACAGATCGAATGCAATGCTTCTGGTCAACATTCAAACATTTAGGTATCCAGTTTCCAGAAATTTTTTTCGTATCTAGGTCGATATGTGAACTATATAATGGACGCGTTCGAATAAAATGATCAGTGCTTCGGACATTCATTCTAGTCCATTTGGGACAATGGGGCAATATTATGGAGGATAAAAAATATGAACGTCTGGTACAGTCGAAAGCATAAAGCGTTACATTTTGGAAGTCTTTGCCTCGATGACGAATTTTAATAAGAACGGTTCTGATATCAATGTATAAAACTTCACAAGCCCTCGACAGCACAATAACTAAATCAAACTTCCAAACACAGTAATAATTATTTATTTTAACAAAAATAATATTTAATTAAAACATAACCTGCGGGGATTTTTTGCAAAACTTTGAACCACTTTATCATTAAAATTATTTAGGTTTTTACGCTTCTACCAGATATTTTTCTCGAGAGAATTTATCTGGTTGAAGCTGGGATGATTCTGCAACCGTGTTAGAAATCACACGTTAAAAGATAAGACCTCGTTAGTCCTTAGCTCGCACAAGTTTCTCAACTTCTGACAGTTGTCGTTCGTATGGGGGCGACAGCTGATTGACGGAAAAACAGATTTAAACAGATAACCTGCGGGGATTTTTTGCAAATCTTTCAACCACTTTATCATTAAAATTATTTAGGTTTTTATTTATTATAGCTCTGTGTACACTCATCATGGCCAGACTATTGAGGCGATCTTCTGCCATGGTGCTTCTTATCGATGTTTACAGTCTTCTGAGGCTGCTAAAGGATTACTCTACTGTATAGTACGTGCATCAAAATTTGCAATGCTTTTTTCGTTTCGGGAAAGGAGGAATTTGTTTCTTTTAGGACATCAACAACTGTAAGATTTGTTAGATTAAGCCTATCGTACCACAATTGCTGCCTAAGTTCGGTTTCATTTTTTATGTTCGGAAAAACATAAAACTGGGCAATAGATTCACAAGTTTGTTTCAGATTTTCAGTTGTCATTTTTTGCATCTGCGCCGGGGGTAACTTAGATAATGCGAATGATGACGTGTTTTCTTCAGCAAAACGTACTTCAAGGGAGGTGATAATTGAATCCAAGTATGGTATTAGTAAAGACCTTTTGTTGGACGATTGCTTCAATAACGTTGTTTCCCCGTAATACGCGGCATTGATGTAATGATGAATGGAGACCCACTC